CTGCATGTCAATGAAGGAGTCTGGAAAATGAAACCTGTGGGTGTTCTCCCGTTATTAGTTTGAGGTGCTCTGTGAACAGTGGGAGTGGCACAGTTTTGTAGCGAGTGGAATGAAATGTCCCTTCGCCTATGGATCTCATGAGTTCAGGCACACGTGTCTGAAATGGAAACCAGTAAAATGGTTACATTTATACTGGAATGGTCCTAAATGATGAAAATAAAATGGATTTAGTCTGTCTTACATCTGTTGGACAGACGAATGTTAAGAAGTGGAGCAGCTAGGAAGGTCAGATAATTAGGTTAAAAAAAACCACCCAATACCTTAGGTTTTTCTTTACTAAACAGCTTCTCTAGTAGCAGCTAAAACCTGTTTCTGCAGAATCCGGGCAGAAAGCTTTTAACACCTTCTTTGACAAGCTCCCTGTTGCTCATTTGACAGAGGAAGACTAAATTTATGATTAAGACCTTTCAGAAGCGTGCATCCCATCACGTTTGCATCCATGTCATCCTAGTTTTCCTTGTTTCAGGCTAATCGGTCGCGTGACCTGGGGGCAACAGTATATTGTGTTGGTGTGAAAGACTTCAATGAGACCCAGGTAAGTGAGGCACTCGTCTTTACTGGGGTACTCTGCAAAGCTGGATGTTGAACACAGGCACACGCTCCTGAATCATGTTCGCAATGCTTCTGAGTCTCCCTCTCCTTCTGAAGTCTGAAGTGTCTTGGGCTGGGTGTTGGGTTTAAAGCCCCTTTCTGTCCACATCTCCATATGTGCAGAACTGTCCCTCTGCCTGCATGCCACAAAGGCTCTTGCTAATGGTGGAGAAAACCAGAGGAAAAAGCACATGAAGAATATCACATCAGTCTTGCTTCAGCTGTAAGAAGAAGGAATTTGTGAGGACTTTCCCCCCCCTCCCCAAAACTGAGGTGTTGCCATATAACACTTGAGTTTCAGTCCAGCTTTTCTTTTATAGGAAAACAATGCTGCAGAAAGCAAACAGCTTCATTACTGACACTAATATTTTACTGTGTTTTCCCATTTGATAGACTGACTTTAAATTTAATCATATGAATTACTTTTCACACCAAGCCTAGTGGCTGACAGTATATTTTTCTAATGTGAGTGAAACACTTGTATAGCCCCTAAGTGAAGTGATGAAATACTTACTGAATAGAGCTTTTCCAGGTTCTCAGCTTTCTCACAAAGTTTCAAACACTGATTCAAAGAGGAATCAAACCAAACAATCTCCTGTGAATCGAGACCGGTGTAACCCACTAAGTCATAGAGAAACGAAGGAAGGCATAGAAATGGCAAAGAGACTAAATCTAAAGTAGCAGACCTCAATGACAGCTGCTCCTTGAAGTCATTTAGATACTGAAGAAATTAACTGGAATCAGATGACTGTCTGACGCCCCAGAAGGCACTAGAAGGAGGGGAATGAGCTGAGGAAACCGTAAACATCCTGGCTGATGTTTATGGAAGCTGTTCTATCTTGGCCAACAAGCAGGAAGGACCCTTTTAATACCCTTCTTGGAGCAGGGTTGCCTGAAGTATTTCTTTGCATGCAGACCAGGAGGTTGGCAGGTGGTTGTTTTGCTTGAGAAATGGGATTTCGGAGTGACATGAAGTGGAAAGGTGGGGTTGAGGAGGAATGTGTGCCTAGTCTGCTGCCTCTGGTTTGCAATGCTACAGGAAAAACTAGAGAGGCCTGCTGGGTTACCTCTGCCATGGGAGAGAATTACAATAGCAAACATTGGCCTTGTGGCAGTAAAACTTGATTCTGCTCCAGCAGAAGCGTGGAGAGCTCATTATTTCTGAATTGGGCTTATATTTTTGGCTTAACCCTTAGATGCTGTTGTCAAGTGAACCTGCATGCAGGTCTTTACATGTGATGTCCTGGTTCCTCTTCTCTTACCACCACCTCATGAATCGCCCTCCTCCTTGACATGTAGGCTTTTCCTTCCACTCAGAAAATATCTCGTTACAGCTCCCTGCTTTCTTCTTCTTGGCTCTCTACTGGTTAAGCTTTAGGACAAACAGTCAAATCTCTGTCCTGACAGGAAAGGTGAATCAGTCCTGGATCTCTAGATGGGGTATAATTTGCATTAGTCTTCTCTGTATGTGAAAATACTGAGTCGTTTTGATTAGTTCTCTGCTTTAAACGATGTACCTGCTGAAGTGTTTTGCTGCATTAGTGGCCATAGTGGCCAGTCATGCTGATGCTGTGGCCTGTTTTGGTTGGGGAGTTACTGTGGGGAGACACTTACAAAACATGGGAGACAGCTTTTGCAGTGAAGATCATTAGGCTTTGGGCATCAGTGAAAGCCACCTTCTGTCTTGCCTTCAAAGTTAAGGGAAGCCTTTTCCGATTCCTGATACTGAGCTTTCTAACAGTCAATCAGGCTAAAGAGAAACTTTACAGTGCTTGACAAACAATGCACTAGCAATTCACACAGAGTACTTGGAGTATTTGGGTTTTTTTTTACTTGCAAGTGGATGAGTCTAGAGAAGTATTGTTTGCTGCCTGCTGGCTAATTTATCTCATTCTTTGCATTTCTGTTTTATTTACTTTGACCGCTCTGTCAGCTGGCTAGGATTGCCGACAGCAAAGATCATGTCTTTCCAGTGAATGATGGTTTTGAAGCCCTTCAGGGGATCATAGACTCTGTAAGTATTTTTAATCCTGTGTTTGCATGTGTGCATGTTAATTGTGTTAGCTTGCACTGTTGAAGGTTTAGTTTTCCTGTGTTCCCAAGCACCTGCTGACTGCTAATAAATCACTGAAACATTTGGTCCAAAGAAACTAACCTTTGTTGTAATATTGCTTCTTCAAGGTAGAGTCTATCAACAGGTCACAATACAGAAAGGTTTGAGCCCAAATATTGTCTCTGTATGTCTCTCCTCTTGGTGGGAAATACCTGACTGAATGGATGAAGCACCTGGTGACAGTTTGTAAAATGTCTGCCACAGACTGGGACGTCAGATGTGTTAGGGCATGATCTGTACAAAGGATTAGGGCACTCCTTGATCTCCATCCTTCTTGATCAGCCTCCTTTCTGTCCTGATGGATGTGCTGCACTGCTCAGCTCTTTAGGATGGGGAAGGGATCCTGCTATGGATGCCAGAATCTTTTTACTTTCAGCTTCCTGAAATACGGGCTGTTGTTATTCCCCACCAGACCTAGGTTTCCCAGCTCAGACTGATCAATTCCTGGCCTTTCCTGTAAGGGCTGGGTGCACTGTGTAAGAACTGGCCCATTCCTTGTGGCTGGGGTAAGAGCTAGCAGATCAGCTGACAGAGGGAGAGGCATAGATTGATCCCTTTCCATGGCTTGTGTACAAGTCTTGCAAATGACTCCATGGTCTTTACTGGCACAGAAGGATACTTCATGAGGCATCCCTATTTCTAGCTTGGAAACTTTGAGTGGCTTGATGCTATCTCACCTAGGACCAATGCTTCCCTTGACTGAGCAGGAAAGGCAGTATGCGAGAGGTTGCACGTGCCATTTTCATTGTAAGTGTAAGATGTGCCAGCTTTCACTAGGAAACAATATGTGTCCAGATAACTTTCAGCTTTCTTTCTGTTCTTTTGCTCAGTTGTGTTCTAATTAGACTGCTTCCCATGGCTACAAAGAAGGATGGGAAATCCTTTTAGACATGTGTTTTGTTCATTTTGGTATAGGGTTTTTAGTTGATAAAAGACAGATGAAATGTACAACTTGAAGCTATGGAGGCTAGGTTCACCGAGGGGGTCTCAGATTTCTGTGTTTACAGTGGTTACACGCTATTCTGACCATGTAGTACCAAGCACGACTGTTCCCCCGGCGCAGGCTCAAATTCCCTAGTGCTCTCACTTGTAAATGGAATACAATCCCTGGCTTATTGGTTTTCCTGGCACTGTCCAAGTGTGGGGCTACTGCCTTAATTCTCTTGGACGATCAGGTGTTGCATGTCATTTAAGAAAGCAACAAAACAACAAAAAAACCCCAGTTTGTGTCTCAGCCCTGCATTGCATCTGTTTTTAATGCATTCCAGGAGCAGCTCTGACTCCCTTTCCAGTTACACTTAACAGAACGGGAAGACTTCAGCCTCCAAGAACCGGGGCAAGAACTGCTCCAGTTGATGGGTGCAGGATTTGCCAGCCCCGGAAAGGAGGGTCACAAGGAAGTTTAATTGTACAGTCATGAATCTGTAATCCCATCACTTGAATTTGCGTGGAGTGATTGCAGTAGGTTGGGTAGAAAGAGGGTAAGAAGGACATTAATCACTCTATAGGGTAATAAAGAATCTGTAGATTCCTGTCGTAGCTGGAAGATAAGCTCTGTCCTTCCTTCTTTTCTTGTCCTTGCAAAGTACCGCTGTCTTGGAGCAAACAAACACAGCATTTGTGTTCACACGAAAGCTTTTTAATGTGGCAAGAGCCATGGCGTTTGGAAGCTGCTTTCAGTTCCTGTGCAAGAGTTGGTGTAGCAAGGATTGGTTAGGCTCCTACCTGCTGGCTGATACACTGGGGAAGAAAAGGTAAAATGGTGAGTCTGGGGGAGAATAGTGCTTGAGATGTCCAGAGCTGGGTTTGTTCTGGTCTGCAGTGATTTGGTGTGAACTGCCCTGCACTCCTGCTGAGGCAGCCTGACTCTTCCCTCCTCCCCTTCTCCCAAGGAGTAGGTCTTTTTTGTCCCTCTGCTTGTGCAGAAGCAGTGGACTGAGAATTCCCCCTGGAATGAGGGAAGAGGGTGGGAGCTGTGAGTGGTGGAGCATTTGGCTGGGCCTTCCAGCTGCTGAGCAAGGATGTTCAGGGTGGGGGGTCTGCAAGTGTTCCAGTACACCTGCCCTTCCTTTTCTGTGGGAGCCAGCAAGTTTGAGTTAGGAGCTGCAGGGAGATCTGCTTTGTGCTTTCCAAGGAGGACTCTCTCCCACTGAGCACCACCAAGCTCTGCAGGCTGTGCCCAGGGCTGTGCTTAAATGAGCTTAAAATACAGCTCCATGCTGAAGTCGTGCTTACAAACGTGATTCTTCAAGTGGGACCTGAAGGTTTTCGGTGCACTGTAGGTGTTGGTCCTTCCTCTCCTGCAAGTTCCAACGTGACTTTTTATTAAACAAACCAGTTGCTTTTTCTCCCTCATAGTGAAAAAGCCATTGCTAAAACTTCAGCTTCCCCCATGTTTAATGGGACTTTTGAGTTTGGTAGGAGGGATCACGTAGAGAGAGATACATCCGACTGCTATAAGCTGGGAAACAAGTGGAAGGAACTGAAGTAATATATTAAATTTCTTTGCTGTGGAAAAAATCCTGCAGACCATAACCTGTCAATTTAAAGCAAATGGAGCAAGTCTTTGAAGGAAAACATGAAATTCAACTTCATCCTACTGCTCACTATGTTTTTGGGGTTGCTGGAAGCAATGGAACAAGAAACAGCATGGAAGTCAGGATGAGACCCTGTCATTGCTTTGTGCCTTTAACCACACCTGACTGAAGGAGCAGTCGATTGGAACAAGAATGTTCCCTGCTCCCTGCCATGTGTTACAGTGGCGCTAGCTCAGAGCTTATCTCAGAGGTGTAATTGCGAGTCCCTTAGGATTCTCCAAGTGAGCTGCAGGGGGCTCATGAAGCAGCAGCAGTCATGTCGAACAAGTAGCATCAGCTGGTTTGTTGGATTGTCCCTTATCTGTATAAATTGTGCAGATGATTCATCCTTCTCAGTCTGATTTCCTGTGCGCTCCTTTCGGATCATCTTGCGGCGGTGTCCACCTACCCTCAGTATTTTTCAGGTCTTGCCTCACCTCTCACAATTGATGTGGCCTTTCACTGTACCCCTTCACCCCAAGAAATTTTAGCTTGGAAATATACTGTCTCTGAACCCTTCTGTTCTACCAGCTGTGGAGTTGGGTATGTGTAGCGTGGGGACTTCTGTGAGAACTTGATGTGAGTGTCTGATAGATGAGGTATGAGAAATGGGGTGATGCTTTTATGTACTCATCCTGAGCCAGTTGTTCAAACTTCGCCTGCAGATAGGTAAACTGTGTATTCCCTGGTGCAGGGAGAGGGGCTGAGACCCCATGAATAGGGGGGAAAGGTACTTCCTTTGCAAGATACGCCCTGTATGTGCAAAATCTGTAATGGACACAAACTCTCTAAGCTTTCTGCCTTACTGCTGACGGGTAGTTTGAGCTTTGTCTGTACACAGCCCAGGGCCAGCAAGCTGGGCAGCTGGCAAGGAAGATTGGGATCTCCTGAGGGCAGTTCAGAGCAGGAGCTTCACATAGGTATTCTGAGCCTGTCTTCTGTCAGAGCCAGGGGTTCTGCAGAGGCCAAAGAGAGAGTCAACAGCTTAGCTTGGGTAGTAGCTTACCCAGCTCATGCAGAGGCTGCAAACTCCCAGTCTCAACTGTATAGTGTTTCTCATTGCTTTTAGTGGTATATGGTCAGATTGGGATCTCCTGAGGGCAGTTCAGAGCAGGAGCTTCACATAGGTATTCTGAGCCTGTCTTCTGTCAGAGCCAGGGGTTCTACAGAGGCCAAGGAGAGAGTCAACAGCTCAAGGCTCTTTGCTTGGGTAGTAGCTTACCCAGCCCATGCAGAGGCTGCGAACTCCCACTCTCAACTGTATAGTGTTTCTCGTTACTTTTAGTGGTATATGGTCATGCTTTCTACTTATTTCTTCCCCCCAAGTACAGCTTTAAAAAGGACTTAAATATATTTATTTTACTTAGCTCACGCAGATATAATTGGACAGGAAACACTTCAAAAGTAAATTACTGCTTTGTAACTGGCAACACACTTTGTTATTTAGTAGTTCAACAGAGCTCAATGAGTGCCTAGCCTGAGACTGCAGGTCATTCACACCACTGCTGACTGGGCAGTAACCTTCTATTAACCTGCAGAGTCCTGTTTGCTCATTACAATTCCCAGATCTGGTGAAAAAAATTTATAAGAAATATGCAGCTGCCTGTGGACCAGAATACCAAATGAAAGCTTCCAGCAGCTGCAGAATTGCCTTCCCCTTCTTCCCTTTCTTTCTACAAGGGCCCAGGTGACCAGCAGGGCCGGGAGAACCTGGTTCTTGGCCTTTAATGCATCAGAATTAGTCACAGGAATCACTCAGTTCAGGTCTGTCCTGACAGATAGCCGTGATAAACAAAGCCATGCTTCCACAAGGACATGTTGCATTTTTTATTTGGCATGTCAACAAATACGAACAAGAGATCCTCCTGGGAACCTGTGTGAAGCTGGAACGCAACTGGAGCCCCATAGGCTACCACAGGAGGCTGATGTGGGGATCCGAGCTCGGTACTTCTCTGCATGGGTGCCAAGGCAAGCTGCCTTGAGGCCTGCAGTTAGTTACCAAGTAAGCCAGAACTGTTGTGCTGCTCCCTGTGAAAATGAGGATGTGGAGTCAGTTCTCCCGTGCTGCTGGAGCGGTTTATAGGCACTCAGCTGGGAGATTGTGTCACCACGCTTGCAGTTCGTTTGCTTTCCCGGGGAACCAGCCCGCAGTGAACGAAGGGCACCTACGGTCCACATGTGGCGGTGCAGTCCTTGGGAAGCGAAAGAATAGAAGATCTGATGGAGTCTTCCATGCTGAATATGTTGAAGTCCCTTTTGAGTTTATTTTTATGACAAGGAGGAGACGTAAAGGAATTTGTTTGCAATAGTTACTGCTGCCCGATTTTCCCTTTCAGTTAGGGTGGGTGCTTGGAACATTGGAAACATTATTATTCTAAATCAAAATAAATATTGGAGTTGGCACTGTAAAAAGCCATTAAGGCCAGCTTTTTATAGGCACATGGATGGATTGGGTTGGACTGGAAGGGAGCTCTGCATCATCTAATTGAGACACCTGCTATTCCACCCCCATCCTAGCTGGCTTGCAGCTCAATAGAATTCATGAATTCCGAACTTAATTGTGTGAGGTTTTACTTGATTTTTTTAAAAAATGGAAGTGTTGATTGTATTTTGCATGCGTTTGTTCTCCAGCTCAGCTGCCTACTTCTCGTCCTGCACTTGCTGACAGGCAAGGAGAAGAAGAAATCTGTATTAAAACTTTTGAGGATGCTGAGGCAGAGTGGAACAGAATCTAAGGGGGAATTTGAAAAAATGTGAAGTCTCATCTTACAGGAGACACTTTTCAGTGGAGAGGAAAAATCCTTGGAAAAACATCAGCTCTTAGCTGTGCTCATTAGCCTCGGCAGTCACTTTGGGACAAAAATGTTGTATCTGCAGAGAAGCAGAACCTGGAATGAGTAAGGGGTGGGTGGTAGAGGACTAACAGGAGAGGGATGGATGGATGGGTGGATGTTTACAGATGGATACTTTGGAAGAGTGTTTTTACTGTCCTCTATTTTTTGTGTGTCTTCCTTATTCTGCATTTCAAATTCTTCTAGTGCTTTTCAGTTCTGTTCTCAACTGTTGTCTTTCTCTTTTTTTCTACTTCACAGTTCCTGTATAACCTTGTTCCTGCAAATCTTCTTTCTCCTCACTTGGCAGGCTGCCAGCAGCTCAGATGGCCCTGGTTTCTTCAGTCCCTTGGTATTTTTTCTGTCTCTACCAGCCCTGCTTCTGAGTAACTCAAACTTTTGTTTAAAAGTCTAAATAAAAGAAATCATGGCTCTATCTCTACCTTTTGCCATTAGGTATTTGAGGCAGAGCACCATGACCGTGGAGAAAAAAATAGATTATCTTTTTCTTACAGAATTTATTGTATGGGTTGCTGTTCTTCCTTACAGATGTTTCAATTTAAAGTTGGGAAAATAATTTTCATGTTGGATTTGAGTCATGATGCTTGGCTGACATTTACTTGCCTCTTGAAGCTGACCTAAATTTTGGTCAGTATTGCCTCGTCTAGGGGCTGCTCAGCCCAGTGCAGAACACTCACAGCTCTTCGTCGCCACTGCTGTTCTCGCAGGGGCTTACGGACACTCTTGTACGTTGGCTGACCACATGCAGTGAAGAATCTGAGTTGGTCTTCAGACCAGGGCAAAGGCTGCTGCATTCAAATAACAGCCTGAGCAATTTGAGTGTCCAACTCCAGCACGCTCCTCCTGCCTTGCAAGCAGTCTGCTGAGCCTGATGCTGAAGTATTTGTGTAAATTGCTGTCTACACATGACGTGGTTAAAGGCAGTGCCAGCCTTTACTAAGACGTACTGTTTGAATTACGTTTGGTTTGAGTAAAGAAGTGTTGTCCATACCTCTTGATTTGAAATCACAGTGCAGCTTTGATTGCACTCAGGTATGCTCTAACAGAGCAGATTAAAAACTTAGCAAGTTTGAACCTCTGCACTGAGGCTTGAGCAGTGCCTGTGTAGATATTCCTAGGGTGTTTTAAGGCAAAGGTAAACAGTTTAGCTTAAACTTGAGACATTTCATTTGGAGTTTAGGGCTCCAGAGTAATTTTGGGACTGCAAAGGAAGTCACACCCTTCAGAGTGCACCTTAGTTGTTACGGATCGCAGTCAGCGTAGTAACTTGTACCGCGGACAAAGGCAAGCTCATGCTGAGATACCGGAGAATAACTTGTACCACAGACAAAGGCAAGCTCGTGATGAGATACCGGAGAGCGTCAGCACCTGCTGCCTTCGTCCATGGCGATAGCTTGGAAGAGCAATGACGCCTCGCTGGTGGGTTTTAAGGAAAGAGCTATGATGGTACATTAGTGACCTGAATGCAAAGTGCAACGAGGAGCTAAGCGTTTGCACAAGTACGCTTGCTCTCACGCTTTCAGATTTGTGTTTCTATAGAAACAAGTCTGAGATACTTCATGGCATTTTTTGTGTCTTTTAGATTCTGAAGAAATCCTGTATAGAAATTCTGGCGGCAGAGCCTTCCAGTATATGTGCAGGGGGTGAGTACAAACTGAGGCCCTAGTTGTTTATGTTGCCTAAAATACACCTTTCTGTCCACTTCTAATTGCTGGAGAGTGCAAAAGGAACTAATTAACTGAAGCTAAATCTTTGACTCTTTTTGTGAACTTCTTTTTCATCTTACAGTAGTTTACATGCTTCCCATTTCTGCCAAATGATGTCAAATGGGATTTTCTTACAGAAAAGGCTTGCATTTGACAGTTTTACCTAACTAACTATTTTTCAATCAAAGCAGTCCTTCTTACTTGGACAGTGCCAAAACTGAAGTAGATGTGCTGCAAAAATACAAACCAAATCAGAAAATAAGACTTTAACGAAGTTTAGAGTTTGCAAATTCATCATCTCAGAGGATGGTTGAGGGAAGTGCTGCTTAAGAAACTAGTAAGGAAGTCAAAAGAACACACTTCCATCTAAAGACTTCTATATTCTTTCAACGTTTCTTAGGCATTTCAGGTTGATGCTGTCACTGAGAAGACTAGAATTTAAACGTCATTCAGCTGACCTGCACGAATCGTGCTGCCCCTTCCTTGTGTGCTTGTTCAGATGTGACTGTGCCATGTAAACTGGGGCTTTAAAGTCCTGCCATGCATTTCTGCATTCAGCAGAACCCAGCCTTTTGTGAAGAAAGCTTGAGGACCATTTTAGCCTCTTCCATCTGCTTTCTGGGAATTCTTCACGTTTTATAAAGTGTATCCTAACTGTTTGTTGCACGTGTAGCAACCCTTCAAGTAGAGAGGCTGGGAGCGGAGCTGAGGTTTGTAGAGAAGGATGAGTCCCTGAGAAGTTATACATCTTCCTTTTTCTTGAATTAGTAGTCCAAAATGAAAGCCAATTGTCATTACTTCTTTGTTTTCACTTCCAAAGCAGCTGCTTTAATCATCCTTCCTGCATCTCCTGTTCCCAGAGCAACTGCCTGTATGCCTAAACATATGTAGGTAGTAATATTTTCCTAGCAGATGCAAGACACCAGGTTAAATCCCCAGCAAGTGCCAGACATCAGTTTTGCATTCCATGCATGCCACTACAGTAGGCTTTGGTTTTTGAAGCCAGAATGGCATAATTGATACCAATTAGAGTTCTTAGTCATCTCTTTCTCATTTTAGATGGCCAGTTAAATAGTTCCTTTGTTAAAAAAGGCTCCAAAACAGGGCTCTGTCTGCCTGAGCATGGTGCTTATGTAATATGGTAAGCTGGAAGATCATAGAATCATAGACTCATGGAATGGTTTGGGTTGGAAGGGACCTTAAAGATCATCTAGTTCCATCCCCTGTGCCATGGGCAGGGACCCCTTCCACTAGACCAGGTTGCTCTTCATCCAGCCTGGCCTTGGACACCTCCAGGGATACAACCATTAGTTACAACCACCTTTAACACTCCCTGATATGCTTGTCGGTTGGTTATACATCTTGTCACTCCTGTTCGTTGTGTGAGTGTGTAGGGGTGATGTACAGCTGTATCCAGCCGAGGCAGCGGAGAGGAAACGTAGAGGGGGTTTATATAAACCGTTCACATTGGGTTCAGCCAGTAGTTCACAACAGGAGCAACATTAACCTTGAAAAATACCAGCAGTTATTCAGATGCTCAGTTCAAGGCTTCATCTCCTCCAAGTCTGGGAAAATACTCCATTGCTCGTGACCTGCAGCTAATTTCATCACTTAGGACTTTGAGACTAATGAAAGTGCCATGGAATATGGAAGTTATGTGCATTAGTGTCTTTTTGACATAAATTTTGCAGGTACAGCTCTGGTACCTCATGGTGGTTTTGTTTCTGTGCACATTCTTGAAGAGTGGTGGTGGCTTTCGGTTTTTATTTTTTTGGAAGGAGAGAACGTGACACTCAGCATTACCTGAGGCCGCTCTTGCACTGCAGGCTGCTCCCACACACTTGAGTGTGAATTTCAGCAACAACACATCATTCTGAAGTGCCAGTTTCTTGATTTTTTTTTTTTTTTTTTTTTTTTGGTTTTGCATCAGCACAGACATGCAGGGTGCATACTGTGTTCATTGCAGTCCCAAGCATCCCCCGACATCATTGTTACGCTGCTCCTTGGTTGTATTTGAACTTTGATTCCTCAGCAGTTGCGACTTCTGTGATTTCTCTTAAGTATTCATCAGCCCCCGCACTCCAGAACACAGCTCTTCTCCCCCGTTCTTCCCAAACGCTCTTGGACAACACATAATGGGCCTGCGAGGCAGCTTCCCTGGCTAGATGTGGTGGGATGATTTGCAGCTTGGCTGTAAATCAGCGGGGCCTGGAAGAGAGCCCAGATTCTGGAGCAAATCTGCTTTTTTTGACAAGTACAGTGTGTGAGTCCTTCAGGGAGATGAAAGTAGATGGGGACTGTAAAGTGCAAGGGGAAAACTTTGAATCTGCAAAAACTAGGTTCCTTCTTGCTCCTGGGAGTTTTCTGAACCGGGGCGGTGCTTCTGGTGCACTGAGATTATTCCTGCATTGTCTTGGACAGTGAAACATTTCGTGTTCAAACCACATTCACCAGCAAAACATCAGCAGGGATTATCTGTGTGTCTCTCCTAGATAGTAACAGGAATTGTGGGGTTGTTTCCTTCACCATGGGGAACTGCAGAGTTTGAGTCCTTACGGCTGCTGCCAAAACTTTTCTGGGACTATGGCCCTGTTTAAAAAATCTGAAAGTTGGAACACAGTGCTTTCCTTGCACGGCAGTCTTAATGCTCGTGGCTGCAGGAGGTTCATAAACCTTCCCCAGCCCTAGGTTCAAGTAGTTGGGATAACAAGGGACGGTAGAGAGTGGTCTGAAAGACCTGTGAGGTTATGATCTCATTGCTCAGGCCTGTTTGGTCCAAAAAAGAGCCCTCAGCTGTAGGCGACTTTCCTTGATGTTTTCCACTTGTGCCGCAGCTTCCGGTGACCTTGCGGAGTTGAAGAATAGCACAGAGGAAGACCTGGGGAAAAGCCACAGCCTTCATCCAGGGCCTAGAAAGCTGGTGGGTTGGTGAAATCCCTGTCACTGTGTGGAAACAAGTCCAGCCAAGGGCTCGTGGTCGCTGTACAGACTAGTAGGGCAGGATGTAAGCGACTCACGGCAACGGGTAGTTTCACAGGTACCTGGGAAAGTAGAGCTTAAACTTCTCCAAGTTATCTGTCACTGGAAGATTCTTTTTCTTTCCACGGAAAGATACTTTTACCTGTTTTCACCCAAAACTTTGTGCCTTTTAAAACAGCAACCTGGGGAGGGGAAAGCTTGGTGTCTCTGACGTGTTTTCACTGCAGGTCAGTTAAAATGTTTCTGTTGTGTACTATTTCCTGTTTCTAAAAATTCAAGTTGAAATTGAGAGGAGGAGAGTGGAGGTTTAATTTTTAACAATTGTTAAACTGCAAAAATGTTAAACATCAGATTTTAGCTCAAGAGATCTCAAGTGAAGACTTTTGACATATTTTGCCTTGTCTAAGTGACCAGTCTTTGCCTCACTATGTATCAATAATCTACTGTCTCTTTTGCTACAGAGTCATTTCAGGTTGTCGTGAGAGGAAACGGATTTCGACATGCCCGTAATGTCGACAGAGTGCTCTGCAGCTTCAGGATCAATGACACCGTTACTCTCAGTAAGCCGTTTTGATACTTTTTTTTTTTCCCCTGACTCTGGACTGGTAGGCCTTTGCTTGCAAAACTCTTTGGATCTTCAAATATCTTCACTGTGAAGTTAATAATGATGGGCTGAGGACCTATTAAATTTGCAGAATAGTGTGAAGGGAAAGGCAGCCTCAGCACGTGGCTCCATGAAGGGTTGAGACAGGTAGGAATGCTTAAGCTTGGATCCAAGGGGAAGTGTAATGGCATGTACTAGACAGAGCTGCCCTGAATATGAAGTTGGTGTGAACCCAAATGAAAGCTTACCTTGTTTTTTTATGGCACTAGCTTTTGCTGTACATGGCAAGGATGGAAGAGACCTGGCCCTTTTGGGTTTTACAGCCAATGCTAAATGGTTCCTAAAACTGGCCCCAGTTTGGGCATGTCTAAGACACAGGTTGCAAATAAGTTTGAATTTAAATGGATCCTGCCAAGCAGTGAAATTTAAGAGATGCTTGTGATTTCTTTGAAATCTTGGACTCCCATAGAAGCTTAATCGTCTGCTCCATTCAATTAATAGGCCTATCCTAATCCCTTGCAAAGAGATTGTTTTTTTGGAGGAAAACTGCTGGTGCTATTGTGTGCTAAGCCTGACAGACAGTATGTGAATAGATAAGCTTGAGTGGACAAAACACAGAAGAAACTTGCCAGTGAAGAGTATCTATATATGCCTTGCTGGGTTAAGTATGTTGTGAATTCAGGTCTGTTTCTCTCCCTACCTGTGTTTTGTGGTACTCAGCAGGCCTGGTCATGCAACCTAAATAGACACAATTGGAAGCTGCATGGGAGCAGTGGCTAAGGCATTGTTGTGCTTCTGTGGATGCAGCTTGGAAAGAGGTTTCCTCTACACAGTGCACCAAGCAGAAATCTGAAGGATGAGAAGCAAATTAGAGCCTGAGTGTCTGGTCTTTTTGTGAAGTATACTGAGAGCCATTAGCTGGAATGATGCTATTGTTCTTGTCTGGCACGCCTGCAAACCCACATAGGAAACCAGATAGCGTAACTCATAGCTCATACCACCAGTGAGAGTAGAATTCATCTCTTATAACATGGAATCCATTCAAAAGCTGCCTCATTGTTTTGGAGGCAGTCCTGACCCTTTTGAGTATAAAATAAATGCCCGACTTAGTTCCTTACACGTGGAAGTCTAATGGCTCGGTGTTGGTCTGTGCTTTGAGCATTTTGAGCATCTTTGGAGCAGGAGAACAGTTTGCTAAGGCTCCAGTCCTGACCCTTTTGAGTATAAAATAAATGCCCGACTTAGTTCCTTACACGTGGAAGTCTAATGGCTCAGTGTTGGTCTGTGCTTTGAGCATCCGTGTAACTTGCTCTTTGGAGCAGGAGAACAGTTTACTAAGGCTCTTTGCCCTGTGAGGAATGCCACTGAGCACCCAGGGCAGGTGTAGAACAGTGAGTGCATATAACGTGTCCTGAGCAGTGTTTGTACTGTTATGTCGACCACCTCTGTAGTGGGAAGGTTCTGGAACTGCCAAGCTTGTGTCACTGAGCAGAAAGCGTGGCTGGCTGTGGTTCGTGTTTGCTAATTAAGGTATGCTGGGTGCTGAGGACATGAAGAGCAGAAGCTGGAGGGCTAAGTGTCCAGAGAGGAGCAGGTGGCATTGGAGGGAGGAACTGGGAAGGTGGTAGGTGCTAGAGATGTGTGAACAAGTGAGAGGTGGCTTTCAAAAAAAACAAAAAAAAAAAACAAACAAACAAAAAAAACCAAACAGCAGAGGCAGCTTTTCCTTTTAAGCTCCAAAAAATTGGACCCGAACCTGACATGTGGCCATAACTCCTTGAATCTGGATCGTGGCTGCATTTAGGTGTTGAACCATGTTTGGTTTCTCCCCAGAGTTCTGATCCAAGGTTTTGTTTGGATTATATGTGTTACAAAGTCTCTGCTAGTTCTCTAGAGCTGGGCAGGAAACCTTCCCTTCTGTCTCCACCTGGAAGGTTCCAATAGAAATGAAATTGCTGTTCAAATATTTACAAGTTTTCTCTCCATCAAAAGTCTGAAGCCATGTGGTCCAAACCCAATATTTCTGGGTTTGGTTGCTGGAAGATGACGGTTTGTAGAATTCTCAGTTTGCATGTCTGCTGTCTTTTTTTTCAATTAAAATGGAATATCCCATATCAAACATACAATTTGTGTGAAAATTTCCACTTTGTTGAGGAACTACTTTCAGTTCAAGAGAAATGCTAGTGGAAGATTTTTCAGGTGGTTGTATTTTATGTTAAAAAATGCATGGACATATAAAATGGAAGTTTAAGGAATTAAAGACCATCTCCCAGCATGACAGAAGCCCCAGAAGCTGCAAAATTTAGGAGTGCCCACGTCAGCCTGCTGCAGCTTGGCCTGGCCTTGTTTGAAGCCCTGAACATCCCTCAGACCAGATACCCCTTTGAGAGACTTGTGCTGTTGGTGATATCTAAAGCAAGACTGATTGGGTCAATGTGTGTGGCATGTCAGATTTAGGATGGCCAGGGGACAGATTTGCAACCTGCGTCGGAGGGGTTAACAGTTAGGTTTGGTCCTTCCTTAGTGGAAGGACCTCATTACTCTATTTCCGCAGGTTGCTTTCCATTTCTAGAAACTGCTTTCAAGAGCTGCAGCACAAAGGTCTTGGAGCATGAGTTCTGAAGTCCTGAAAAACTTGGATCTTGGGCTTAATTTGGACTTTATATTAGGAGCTTTAAAATAGATTTTTAACATGTTGAAGAGAAAAGGCACTGGGAGCTGTATATGAAATGAGTAAACTCCATTACCCTGGTCTGCAGATGGGGAACTGAAGGACCGTGCTCAAGGCAGCCCCTCCAATTGCAGACAAGCATGCAGGTGTCCTGACACCCAGCCTAGTCCTCTCCGTACTGGGTATGGGGCCTCTTCAGAAGCTTGAGAGTTGGTGCAGGCCTCTGTTCTCCATTGCCTGTTATTCATGTCTGCCTCCATATCCGTTCAACAATCGTCCTTCTTATGGCCCCTTTGCACTGTTGAGTCCAGGAGAGGACTCTGAGCCTGAATGGAAGGGAAAAGTAGCTACTGTTCCTGCCAGCTTCGTGAGGGAGGGAAATGATATTAATGCTATCCTCCTTTTCTCTCCCATGTAAAGTCTTTTCAGCACTTGATTTGCCATTCCACTTTTTCCTCCAGGGAAGACTACTTGCTCCCTTGTTGTTAGCTTGAAAGTCACCCCTGTAACCTGAGGCTATGGTAGCTGTGACCTGCCCTTGCATCCCAGTGGCTTCTCAGCTCAGCTTCCTCAGCACTGTCTTGCCTCGGAGCAAGGCATTCATTCCTGGAAGCATCCTACAGTCTTCACAGAGCTAAGCGTGTCATCCATCAGCTTTCTGCTATCCAGTGTGTCCTGTCTAGAGACACAGAGCTGAGCAGTGTTGCCAATGGGAGGAACTGTTTGCGAGGGTTACCTCACTCCCAGCTGTGACCTGCTGGTGGGGGAGCGAGGAGGAAGACTCCTTCCTTCTTTCTGTGTGCTGACTGCTTCTCTAGCTGAGTAATTTATTATGGTGTCTGTCATCATAATTTTGTAGCAGCTTTCAGGAAAGATCAGCTTCTCTTTCCTGATGCAACCCAAGGGCGTTTTTTTGTTTGACGCGCTTCCTGGGTCCGCAAAAGGATTGTGGAAAATGAGGATAAGGGCTAAATACATTGCCTGCCTTCTGCCCTGATGGATTCATTGTGTCTGGAGTCGATGCATAGGTGAGAAATGAGCTCATTCTCCTTGGCACTGCCCCAGGACTTCTCAGTTTGCTTTGCACAGCCCTAGATTGTTCGATGTGGTGACCTGGGAGCAAGAGACCTCAAACCCAGTTTCTGAGGTCAGACTGTTCCCTGTTTGAGGGAACTCAACAGTTGCTCATCAGTGTTCCCAAACCCAAGTCTCTCCTGGTAGGAACTGGCCCAGCTCTGTTAAACGTAAGTTGCTCTGTGTGAGAATGTCTCTCTGTGTTTGGCTTCACTGGAGACTGCAGCTCCAGCCCGCGTTCTCAGCGTGCCTTTGTGGCACCTAACTGCAAACAGCTTAACGTAAGAGTTAACCCAGTGAGAACTATATGGAAACCTTATGGAGATTGGATAGCTCAGCTGGTTTTGTTTGCTTGAAACCTCTCAGCCTCTGATTGTATCAGGGAGGGGTGGTATTTTTAAAGATAATTCTAAGCCAACTGTTCCTGAAACCTTAAATTATCCCAGATGAGATGTAGACCAGCACAGCTAGGACTTGCTGAGGTTAAGGGCATGAGGTAATAGATTTTTATTTGGATTATTGGCAGAGAAAAGTGGCAGGTGAAGAGAGCATCGGCTCATAATGTTCATAGCTATGGGGTAAAAAAAAAAGGAACATCTGTAGAAACCATGAAGAATATTTGGCTGAGCAGAACTGTAATCAGATGCGTGTTCAACAGCAGGGTGTTTTCTGCCAGCAGCAGGACCTAGGAGAATTGGTTTCAGACTGCACAGAGTTAAAAGTAATTATACAGTGCAGTGAATTATGACTGCTTTGTGGTGCTAAAATGCCTTTGTCTGCCCAGATTGAGCAGAATCCAGCAAAGATAATTCTGGGCATAGAGTCCAGCTCTGTCCTAGGCAATTTAGAACTGAACAGAGAGCTGAAGGACTGGTGAGGAAGCAGCATGCACTGCAGCCGAGGTGGGGCTAGATCTTTTGCATTCTAGTGACTGCTCCAGATGCTTGGCCAAAACTGATCCTTTGGACAAACTAGCCTGATTCTTTTTTTCCAGAACAGATTACCAGAAGTGAGGGAAAATGAGGCAGAGACAGAGGAAGCAGGACTTTGCCAGGTATCAACGGAGTGTGAGCTGTATAGGCAACTGTATCCCAAAATCGCCCAACCAAAAGCCTTCTAAAAATTGTCTTAAGTTTTTAAAGCCTAGCAAGTTGCTCCGTTTTCCCTACTTCCCTATTTCCTGGCAGCACCTTCTTGACACCTTCTTGTGT